GTCTCTATTGTAACTACTTGACTCTGCCCTTGCAGCATGAAACTAGCCATGAACAATATACACAAAATGTAAAATAAAAAACCTTATTGGAACAAGGACAGGCAGTGTGCTGTAGCTTGCTGATCCCTGGCTTAGCACCTAGTGTTTTCCTAGTAAATGTTTGTTCAATGAATTAGTTAATAGAATAGAATAGAATATCATTATTGGAGGCCTCAGGGGAAACGCAAGGGAATGTCATTGATTGCCTGAGTGTAAGAAGTCTTCCTGGAATGGAAAAGTGACATTTCTCATGAGACCTTAAGGAAGGAAAAAAGTAAACGAGGCAGAAAGAGAGAAAGTTGAGGAATTTCTGGCCCACATGACAGCTCTCCCCATGCAGGGATTTTTCCAGGAGGCGATACTGGGATGGGATCCTGAAAACTAGACTGGCTCAGAGCGAGTTCCTGAAGCAGCCAAGAGTAGGAAGAGCCAGAGGGCAAATACAAGCTGTGTCCTGGGCAGCACCTGGGGGCAGACCCAGAGGAGCCACATTCTGTGGCCAAATCCAGAGAATCAGAAGCCAGGCAGATCCTGGAATTGGGCTCAGGGTGAGAATAACCAGGACAAGAGCGAAGTGAGATCCAAGACAACTTTTGTGCCTAGGGTTAGAGGTCCACAGCATTCTCCTGTGACCACTGGCCACGTAGTACCTGGATAAGTCTATGGATGTGTTCATCTTTATCTTTTCAGAAGAGTTAAGTGACAGAGTTATTGCTATGAGATAGAGGAGAGGAGGCTAGAACTTAGAACTGATGTAGCTACTATAACAAAATCCAAAACGGCTCAACCAGGGCCCTAAACAAAGATTTGCTGAGATATGATGGGTGAAGCTGAGGTTGGATACCAGGGGGTGGCAGCAAACTAGTCACCAAGGCTGTGGGACATTCTCCAGTGAAGCTCTAGGAATGAGTGTCAAGGAAATGACTGGGTGGCTTCTGCAGGATTGGGATTGGCAGGGAAATGCAGACACTGGCAAGGCAGACCAGGAAATATGGGCTGTCACTGAATACGTGCCACATGCAGGCACTTCAGAGAATCCATCTACTATGCCACATGCCTCCTCCTCCACCAGACAAAAGGCCAAACACGGTTCTTCTTTCAGCAGCGCTAGCCTTTTCAGCATCATTGTGAACACTGGTAATTTAGCACCAGTGATTACAACAGAAAAGATGTCAGAAATGAAGAGGCTACACATAAATTCAGGATACCCCCCTGGAGTGGCTTTTCAGACAAATGCACACCTGGTTGGCTATCAGTATCTCAAACCTGTATGTCTAATCATTTCCTCCTCCCAGCTTCTCACCTGCCTCTGTCCCATCTATGCCTCATCCAAGCTACTAGGAGTAAACATCTAGACTCAGATATGTGTGAGCCACTTGGACACTGCCTGAGCCTGAGAGGGATGCTAAACCAAAGAGCTGTGGCCTTACCTGAGAACCAAAGTGTTAGCAATAGTCTCTGTTCCTCCTCTGTCCCAAGACTGAAGCCCAATAATAAAATGGAGAAATGGGCAAAAGACAGCCTCCTGTTAGAGATGGATTCACTCTCACATCAGGTCAAAGAAGTGGAGCCCTAGAGCAAGGGCAGCCGTAAATACCTGGCGTCCCCGCAGTGGAGAGAATTAACCACAAAACAGTTATGACGAGTGCAACGGGAGCGTGCAGCTACCGGGACACAAGGGACACGTGGTGCCCGATTTTAAAATAATCATTTGGCGTTACAGAGCAGACACTTAGACCCAGATGCCACCTGATATGATGCTGAAGTGTTGATGTTAAAAATACCAAGTACATCCCTAGAGCTGAATGTGACACGGGGAAAGGGGACAGTAATTAATATCTACAAATCTGCTTTGCACCCAGTTTGAGAAAAGGCTGCTTCTACCCCATGTTTACCATCACCATTAGCAAAGGCCTTCATATTTTTAAATTGAAGGAAAAGTGTTTCCACAAGGACCCCAGTGGTAGCCTCACTACGTATTCCTTTAGGAAGCTCACGAGCATTACTTTGTCCCCGTCTCCCCAGGCCTCCTGATGCCTGGAGCCTTTCTCCCACTCCTACCTCATTTCCTGGTGGACAATGGAACCCAGGACGAAACTTCTTTGTGTCCCATCTAACTGAGGTCCTTCATTCCCCTAAGATTGTACTTATTACTTTTCTCTTAAGTTATATCTTATGTTTCTTATCTACTATATTGAATTAAAGGCAAGTTCATGTTTTACTCATTTTTGTAGTTCCCGAACTACAGCGAAGGAGGAAACTATAATTACTGTGGATCTACTGTGTGCCTGTGATTGCACATACCTCATGTCATTATTTTGAAAATTGAATTTAATTCTTCTAACAGGTGGATAAGGTAGACATGATCATCCCTGAATTACAAAGGAGGGAGCTGGGACTCAGGGAAATAAAGTCATTGGAATTTGACCAAGTTTATACGGCTAGTGAGTGGCAGTGCCAGGATTTGAATCCCCATCTTCTGGCTCTAAGACCAGTGCCTTTCCTTTAGGTTGTTGTTTGCTGTTTATTTTTTAACAGCATGCAGGAGAGCTGATGGCTTCAACCCAGTAGGAGTTAGGAACTCTGCTGAACTGAGGCTTGAATCTAATCATATTGAATCAAATCTGTGCAAGTCTGCTCCCAGATGCTTCCAGCACATATATTGCCACCTTCCTATTTGATTATTTGGTTGGAATGCTTCAAGGAGCATGTACTAAGCATTCACAGTGCATCAGGCAACAGGGTTAGGGACTGGGGCTACAGTGCTGAAGACAGGCTTCCTCAGGGAGTTTACAGTCTAGTGGGGAAACAGACATATAGCAGGGATCATAATTGTGATCTGTGATGATACAGAGAAACTAGTGGTTACCAGTGGGGAAGGGGGAGGGGCACAATGTGGATAGAGGGGGCGAGAGGTACAAGGTACTATGTATAAAATAGATAAGTAACAACGGTATGTTGTACAGCACAGGGAATATAACCATTCTTCCTTTTGTAATAACTTTAAATGGTGTATAACCTATAAAAATATTGAATCACTATGTTGTACATCTGAAACTAATATACTATTGTAAATCTGTATATTGAAACAGATATAATATTGTACTTCAGTTTTAAAAATGTGATCTGTACTAAGAGGAGACAGAAGACAAGGGCTTAAGTCATTCTAGGGTGGTCTTGGAGGCTTTTGGGTAAATAATGAAGGAGGAATGAGTTCACTAAGCCAAGAGGAGGAGAGCACAGAGGGAACAGCATGTGCTCAGAAACTAGAGTACAAAATTGCAGGTAGGATGGGTCTGGAAAAAGGGGGCATTTTGGTGGAACAGAGCAGGAGGGGCAAGAGATGCTGCAGCTGGCCTCCCTGTGTTCACTTCATGAACCAAAGGTCATGGGTGGCTCCAACCCTTGCCCCTATACAAGCCATGCTCTTGGCCTAGATGATAACTAGGACATTCTCCCTACTCAGGAAGTGAGTTAGAGAAATAGCTGGCAACATCTCCATCTGTCTTCTCTAGGAGTGTGAGGGACAGACACAGAGTCTGCATTTCCCTGCTGTGTGGGAAATAATGAGCCAGCAATTGAGCAGACCCACATGGTGATGTCATCCCTCAGAAAGCTGTGCAGGTGGCTTTGTGCCCGTGTTGTTGATGTGCCCCTGGGTCAGAGGACCCTGGGGTAGCAGGTGGCAGATGTAAACAAGATCAGGGCCTGTTCAGAATCATTTTATTAAGTCGTGGGGTGGACTGGAGAGAAGTCCAGTCCCATGGGGTAGTAAACTGCAAATGTTGGTTGTCCACCCAGTTCAAGTTTTCCTCTTTACTATTCCTGAAAATGTTTCTTCACTTGAGACTTTATAAAACCAACCGAGAATGGTGGAGAACTGAGCCAACTCTATGATGAGCTGTATGTAACTTAGTAATAGAGATGCATCTATAGTCATCACGTGCAAAAACAAATCCAGTGCGATGCTGGTGTTGACTCTCTTTCCTCTTCTTCCTCCCTCCGAGACTTTGAAAAGTCTTCAGGCCAAGTTCTGTGTTGGTCCTGCCCAGACCTTATTCTGTTCTCCCTTCACATCATCCATTAATTCCCTCCTACATCCCTCTACAGTCATCATCCTGCATCATCCTCACCAAACCACTGTGGACCAGTCACTTCCTTGTATCTGCACCACCTCTCCTGTCCTTTCACGGGGCTAGCCTGCCTACCTCTCACCCTGGAAGGTGCATCCAGCTAAAAACAAGTATGCTTATTCCCAAGAACTGTTAAGCCTACTTCCTCACTCCCTCCCTTCCTTTTTGCTCCTTGCTGCCCTCTCCAGCTCCACACTCTAATTTTGCTCCCTCTAATGCGTTCTTGACACTGCTGCCTGGATGATTTATCTGAAATTCAAATGTGACTGTGTCATTCCCATGGTCAGAACCCTTCAGTGGTTTCAGACCCTTTCAAATGACATCCAAACTCCTGAAGCATTTAGAACAAGGACATCCATGAGCAGGCTCCTTCCTACCTCTCTGGCATCACTGCCTACCTCTCCCCTTGACAGAGTGTGACACAGCAATGTGAAATTATGTGTGGCTCCCCAAACACACAAGGTTATTTAGTGTTTCTGAGTCTGCCAGAAACAGCCTTTCCTCTCTGTTCTGTCTTACAAATCTGATCAGCATTTAAAATTTTCCCAACTTTGCTCTGCTCTGAGCTCTTCCCAGACAGAAGTCATCATGCTGGGCTGCCTCTGTGTCTTGTTCGGACACCTACCATTGCCCTGTCTGCTTATTTCCAAGACTTACTTACTTGTAGGGACTCTTACTCATCCCCGAATAGCACAAATCTAACACAGAGCAGGTGCTTGGCCATCACTGGTTGAATCATTGTCCAATTACACCTCCTCTCCATGCTTTGAGGGACTTGTATTTTATCCACAGCCACACTGATACCTGCATCCCAATTGGCTTTCCCAGGTCGGGCCAATCACTGGTCTGCGATCATCGGCGGATCCCACTCCAAGAATTACGTGCTGTGGGAGTACGGAGGATATGCAAGCGAGGGCGTCAAACAAGTTGCAGAACTGGGCTCACCAGTGAAAATGGAGGAGGAAATTCGGCAGCAGGTAAGGAAAACAATTACAGAATGACCGAAACCCAGAAATGTAGTCAAAGCATCTTTTTAGGTTTCTTTCCCAGCGGCTTGAAGTTTACAGGACCATGTGCTGGAAAATTGGTGCCATAGGAAGTGAAATCTAGCTGCTGAGTTTGGGGGCTTTATGTTCAGTAGAGGGCAGGGACACCTGTGTCCACCTTGTTGTCTCAGATTTCCCCTGGATGCGCTTGTTGTTTCTTCAGCTTGTGCTTAAAAGCCATGGGCGTGTTGCTGGGATGCCACGCCTCCGCTCTCCTGAGGCCGGTGTGGTGGGTGATCCTTGAGAGGGTTGGGGGAGTGACGTTCACACTAAGCTGAAATCACCATTTCCAAAAATAAACATTTGTGCATTGACACGTGCTTTTTGCACCTATGTCTTGAGGTGTTTGGTAAATTAGTCAGTGATTAATCATGGTCATTACACGCTAAAGCATCTTTTATATACCATGTATCATGTCCTGTGGGCCCAGGAGCCAGACCATTATCTAGGTCCCCATTCATATCAATGGGAGATGGGGAGAGATAGTCCATCAGTTAAAAAAAAAATTGTCGGGAAATTCCATCACCCCTCATCAATAGCTCTAGAAAGAGGTTAGTGAGGGATCTGGAAGAAGAGCTACAGTTTTTTGAAGGCCATTCACAGGCTGCACTGTGGGAGGTGACAGTCCAGCTCTGGCCGTCACTACCCATAGAAGCCCTTCAGGCCTGAGAGAGCCTGGTAGGCAGCCACATCTCGCTGCCCAGGAGCACTCAGGAGGGAGTAAGGAAAGAGAAGACTGAGCTTGGGATGTGGTCATTTCACAGCACAGGTCACTGCAGGCCATTGCTCTGGTTACACTCCCATCCCACATCTCCTGAGACAATTTCGGGGTCCTGAAGACCCTAGGACCTGTGTCTCATGACATGTGTGTGCAGGAGGGCGAGCCCAGCTGAGGCCCCCAGTGCTTCCTCTTGAAGTTCATCATCTGGACTCCAAGCTCCCACAAACCCTAAACTGAATGCAGCATTCCTACTATAATCCCCTGAGGAATCCTTTTGGGCCAGAGTCCAAAATGCCCAGGAGTTAGCTTGTTTCTCGTTGATTTGATTTAAAACCTTTCTTCATTCTTGGAAAAATTGTTTAACCCGATGTTCTAAGAGAGCATGTTATTATTCATCACGAGTTTATCCTACTAGCTACTCAGTGTTTCTCTGACTCTGGCTGCCGTACTTCCTAACCAATATCACTCATTTGGGCTACAGTGCACCACGTTCGCCTGCAAAGTCACGAGGGCATCACGTTGGTCCTCGTCTGGCTTGTCAGGGAAGGGAAATCCCTTGTTTGGGTTCTTGGTTCTTGGTTCTCAGGCATGGAATTGTGATACGCCGGCTTGTCAAGTTCTGTCGTGTCGTGTTGTGTGTTAAAACCATTTGTTACAGATAATAGTTGACACAGTGAAGTTTACAAATTAATTGGATTTAGGTCAAAGGCATCTTCATACTCATGCTTGTGTCGCTTGTTGGCTGTTTTAAGGAGTTTCTGGAGAGAAGGGGAGCACATATGAATTATGAGAAACTGAGAAAACCTAGTGCTGGCGAACATAGCAATGAGAAGGCTAAAAACTGGTGGATAAGATCCTGCCTTAGAATGGGGCCTCCTCTAGGAAAACGTTCTTTGCTTGCTGTGTTCCTAACCAGCACCTGGGATTAGCTCCTGTACACACAGACAATATTTGGCTATCCCAGCTGGCTAGTGTTCCTGACGTTAAGTCATCATAGTGCTTAATTACAGGTACTGCACACAGGAGTTAAAAATCCCATGGAGCGTGTCCTAAGGGATCATCTGTCCGGCCCTCTGGGTGCTGAACATGCACTCTGAGCTCTCACCTCTAGTTGGAGAAGACAAGATTATCATTCCAGTTTTGCAAATAAAGAACTGAGGCACCGTCAATAGCTAGAGAATTCCAGAACTTGAACCCAAGCCTGTCTGACTCCGCAACCTGCACTCCGTACCAGATACATCATTTGCAGGGGCTCCTGAAAATGCGGGGTCCCTTGTTTAAAACTTTTTCAAGTTGGTGACCCTGTGAATTTCACACCATTGGGCCCTGAGAATCTGCGAAGATCACACGCTCATCAGGCCGGCCCTGCCCATCTGCTTTCCCTGCCCCATGGAGAAGCTCCCTCCACCACCCCAGCCTGTGAAATAAGCCTGTTTCCAGAGCTCTGCTAGCAACACATCAAGCACCCCAGCCCCCCAGCTCATCAGAAAGTCAGGTGGATAGAGTGATTTCAGGATCCCTTCCCTTCTGAACAATTCATGGTTCTAAATATTGTTCCCTGCAAGCACACAATTTATTATATTTTCCTGTAAGTCAGGTAAGGAACAACATAAAAAGGAGCAAGAATATGAATCCTCCTAGAATATAAAAGTCCTCTGAATAACCAGGAGCTTGTTTGAACACATCAACAGACTAACACGGTGTTCTCAGCCTTTAATGCCTTATATCCTACCAACCGCTCTATCAAAGAACCCGAGTCCAACAAGGATGAAAATAAAAAGCCCTCTTTTGCTAAGAAAGACATTTATATGCTTCCCAGCACTCTCTTATTGTAGACTTATCGCTCACTGCAAGTTTCAAGGGCATTAAAAATCACAGCAGATATTGTTGGAGGTAAATCTTATGCTAATGGCTTTCAAATACAAATGAACAAAAATAATAATCCTATTAATAGTGGAAAACTGTAATAATATTATTGAGTGTAAATTTTAATGTTACTATAACTGCAAAACACCAAGAAAATTAATGAAAAATGACAGCAGCATTACTGGCAATAATGACACTGGTGGCCAGAGAGAGTCAGGGAAGGGCACAATGCACACTTCTTTGCAGGGAATGGAGGCCAGTGTGTCCTAGTGGGGACTGTGGATTAGAAATACTGAGCTAAGGCCAGCACCGGGCAGGTCACAAATGGGTCACCAAGACACGTGGAGGCGTAGGGAATGGTAGATCGCACATGTAGGTAGGTAGACCCAGGACCTGCAAGTGAGTCGATACGTACTCATGGTTCTGAAAACGTTACACTAAGACCATTTCTACCCCATCAAGTGCACATTTATGTCATGTACACTAGGTGTCTGCTTCTCTGCTGGATGTGGCCCCAAGATGGTGCCCCCTTCACCGTGTTTTTCATGCTAGAGACCTAGTCATTATCCTTGATTCTGCCCTCTGCCCCAACCTTTGCCTTCTCTCCTAAATTCCTCCAGTTCACTTCCTCATCACCACGTCTCCATTTAAACCACCTTCATCTCTTGCCTAAACTATTGCACAAGCCATCTGGCCTCCCTACCTCCAGTCTTCTTCCTGTTACTCACACTGCCTCATGGCCATTTTATAAAATACCAATTGGAGTATGCCACTCTCCCAGTTAAGATGTTTAATGGCTCCTGACTGACCCTAGTCAGGATGAAGTCCAAACTCCTTTTCGTAGCTTAAGCACCCTGCATGATCTGGCCTTGTTTACTTCCACCGTCTTAAATTTCTTGCTGCAGATCCAAGCTTTACCAGTGCAGAACCTCTTTCAGTTTCTCCCAAGAGCCATGACCCTCTGGCATCTAAGCCCTCTGTCAGCCTGGAACATCTTCCAGCTCCCCTTCAACTGATAAACTCTTTATCATTCAGGACTCAGCTTAAACGTTGCTTCTACCTGGAAGCCTTCCCGAATTCCGTACAAAACTGGTACCCTTGCCAGGTGCTCCTGCTACACCCTGTACCTCCCCTATCATTACCGTCATCACGTTTACTGCAAGTCCTTGTTTGATGTCTCTTCCTCACTAAACTGTGAAGTTCAAATTCATCTCTGTATCCTCTGAGCTGGGTGTAGTGTTAATTGCTTCATAATTGTTTTGTCAATAGAAAATCGACCAGTTGATCAAAGAAAGAAATGGAAAATTTTATTCGAGCCAAATGTGAGGATTATAACCTGGGAAGAACATCTCAGAAAACTCTGAGAACTGTTCCACCCATTAGAAGTCAAGGCACAGTTATGTACGTTTTTTGAATCAAAAGGGTATACATCAAATGACGTATTATTGGCAGTTTACACAACCCAGATCTAAGTGTCATTGTAGCGGGTCATGTGACCCCTTACAAGATTGAGAAGGAATGTTATCTTTTAAGGAGTTGTCTTGCTGATGCTGGGAGAACATTGCTCTTTATGGTTGAGCAGATATTCCTGCCGGTTTGATCGATGCATGAGAGAGGCACACGATGCACGGTGAGGGGAGAGAGGAGACCAAAGGGCAGAGAAGAATTTTTTTGTATTTAAATTGTTCTCGCCTTGCCGAAAAATATGAATTTTGTTTCACCATTCCTTCAGTCTACTAATTTATTCAATAACTTCACTGAACACCTGCTAAATAAACGATCAGATCATTCCCTACCTTCATGGAGTCCATGTTCTAATGGGGGAGACAAGGGAAAAACCAGTTAAATAATTATAAATTACAATAAGTAAAAGAAACCCACGGGAGTGACATAGAGACCAGTAGTAGGGAGGGACCTTTTTAAGCAAGGTGCTCAGGGACGATCTCTCTGAGGAGGCCCATTAAGCTGAAACCCAAAAGAAAAGCATGAGGAAAAGACCAGTCTGGATGGTGACAGCAGCATGTAACATGAAGACTGAAGTAGAAAAGAGCCTATGGTACTTGAAGAACTGAGAGCAGGTGTGGCAGAGGAGAGGGAGTGAGGGCATGAATGAAGGACACATTGTCTCGGGGCTGGAGAAATTCACAGGTTGGGTGGGAGAAGCAGATATGTAAATAACCATTTCCATATAATGTACTTAGTTGCTTTAGGGGAATCTCTGCTGCAGCCGGGGAAATGCAAGCATTAGACTGTGCCCTGGAGGGAGCCCTTGAGTGTGTCGTTCTTGGAATTCCCCCAGCCTTTAACATCCCCTGTTCCTTGTGAACACACGTAGACCTGTGTT